GGCGCTAATGTTACTGCACTGAGACCCAGATTGGAACACGCACAGATCATGACTGCAGAGGATATGAAGCGCTTAGGAAGCCTAGGGGGTGAGTACAATCTCGGTTCCGTGGCTTTCAGGCCTTCTTTCATCAATACTCATCTCTCGATTGGCCCCCCAGTCATCGCCAGCGTTCAACCTACCCACGCGTGAGTAACACCTCTTTGGTAGACTAGCTCCGTGATTTTCTTGGGCGCCAGTGTCACTCTGAGCGCTTGAGTTTATCCACGACTCCATATTGATATATCCCACACTGTTCTCTCAGAATCAGCGATATGTCCTATGCCGAAGATCGCTTGGTAAGTCATCAGCATGCTCCTTCCGTCCCCTTCCCGGTAGCGACATTCAATCGCCCGTTCAACCTTCATCTCCGTTTCACACCGCTCCTTATTCCTCTCTAACCGCGTAACGCCCACCTTAGGGTCCGACCCGAGTCAAACAGCTCTATGCATTCCGCTCTATCCTAGATGGGGGGTCACGAATCACACTTGGAACGGACTTCCCAGTCGAGGACATGAACCCCTTCAAGACGTTTTACGCTGCTGTGACCAGAACTACCCCGGATGGGACGTCTCCTCACGGTGAAGACGGATGGTGTGTTGACTAGTTCTGACCCTTTTGAGAGTTAGAATTTGACTCCTATCGTCATGACTCATAGGTTTCCTGAACAATGCTTAACCCGAGAAGAGACGCTGAGAGGTAAGTCTTTGATTTTGAGGGCCATCTTTACCCAACATCTATCTATGTCTACGCATGTTTCCTTCTGTTTCTGCCACGGAAACGGCGGAGGGCCTTCGCCAAGTGACTCAGCCCATGCTGACCTTATGATTACAGGATTAACAATTGACCCGGCCTACGCCTCGTTCTCAGAGGATATTCTAGGTTCTATAGAACCGGGAAAGTACGCAGATTTAACCGTACTATCGCAGGATATCATGAAGACGCCCGTGAGTCGGATCATGCACACCAAAGTTTTGGCGACAATCATAGATGGGAAGGTGGTCTATGGGGGGTTGAGCGGATAGGCTTACCTTGCTTGAACAACGGCTGTGCAACTGATACCACAGTGAGTACCGCACAAATGGGGTCGCTTGATCCTTTACTCCACATTATAGACTGCATTCTCGTACGCAATTAGCACACATCGCCCCAGCAACACCCCCCTTTCCCGTGGCGGCTGAAATGTGTAGTTAGTCGAACCCTGTTCGGTGTCATCTGAGATAGCCAAGTATTATCGCTCGACCAATGTATTCCATTCCCTCTCATCACCCGATTCCCTTCAAGAGAACAAGAGACACAGAATTCGAAGACAGAGAGCCCCCAAAACCCTCAAGCCAATGTCTACCGTCGAGCGCCCGGAATCTATTCTAAAAACTCCCCTTACAAATCTAAAACGAGCAGCCACTCTCTGGCCCTCCAAGACAGCTTTCAAAGTCCCCATTGTTCACTCAACCCTAGAACGGGAACAAGGCAAGGAGATTACAGGGTACACGAATGTCACTTACACACAACTTTTGAACGACGTCGAAGCTACAGCTCGATATTGGCATGATACACTTACGAGTGAAGGTCTTAAAGATGGTTGTAAGGAGGTTATAGGTGTTTGGTGAGTCTCTTTTGAGGGCTCTAAGATCTGGTTCACATCACTAATCTAATCCCCACCTGCAGCCTCGAAGGCAACCGCTACACCGATGTCGTCCATATTTACGCGTTTATGAGGGCTGGATACGTACCACAGACATTTAGCCTCTTTCCCGATGCCCTCGAAGCGTTCAACCATCTCCTAAATGCCTCAGGGGCGAGGGGACTGGTGTACCAACAGGGCGTGTATGACCGAGTGGCGGGATTGGCGAGTAACGTCGTTTCGCTCACACCGACTCCTTTGACTTACTGGTGATGATGGGAGGTAGAAATCAATGAACCCGACGCTGAAGATATTTCCAACTCCAGCTAACATTGCACAAGTCCGGGATTACAACTCCGAGCCTTGCACCCAGAACGCAGACTCGAAAGATTCCACGTCGACTCAAATCATATTTCACACCTCTGGTTCGACCTCAGGGACACCCAAAGCCGTGAGGTACAGTGCTAGACTTATGGACGTCCTCATCACAAAGGCCGCGGTGGCTTGTGCCCCTCAGGGGAATAATCCAGATGTTGCTTCTTGGGTGTGAGTATTCATCCTGTCATCCCTTCTCCCCTGCCCTGTAACCAAGTGTTTCGTCTTTATTTCAGGGAAAGCGTGTGTCATATCGGAAATTTTACATGTGAATACCATTTCCGCATTTCGTACATTCCTCTTATAGATGACTCACCTCCTCGGACCTAGTCGTTCTAGGAACAATTTATCACGGTTCGAGCATGATTGTCCCTGCCCCTAGCGGGACCGGTACGACATATACCGAATCGAAAGGTACCTCAGTGGCGGAGTTCAAAGCTATGGTGGCGTTTGGACGACTCACACGAGCCACGATGATTCCGAGTATGCTCTTCCGGCTTATTCGTGAACTCGAGCTCTCGGAGCACGAGGAGGAAGGGCTAGAGATGTTGAGGGGGCTAAATCCAATTGCGTTCGGTGGGACGAACATGACGAGGGAGCAATACGATAAGGCTAAAGCGGTAGGTTTGAGGTTGTTGGTGAGTTCCTGAGCTCAGATTCAACGCGTGGTACTTACTTACCTATGGGCCTTGATGTATAGAACTTACACGGATGCACGGAATGCGGAATACCCACTCTCATCTCGAGTGACAGTACCCACCCGGAGCGGCTTCGTCCAGTACACCTATGGCTTCACAACGACCCTACCGAGGCTCCAATTCACTACCGATTCGATTCAGTCTCTAGCTTTGCTTCTGACGGCTCGGAGGAGAATCTAGTCGAACTTGTAATTCTCTCCACCTCATCCGACATCCCTGACGGTGCATTCCTGGACTCGGAAGGGAACTTCCACGCAGGAGATATATTCTCTAAACATACCAGCGTCAGTAATCCCTCTGAGTGCTACTACATCCATCGAGGGAGGAAAGACGACTGGATTAAAATGGAGAGCGGGGATAAATGTGATGCTGGGTAGGTGTACTATGGGCACACACTCGAGAGTCGGGTTTTGACTGTCCTTTATAGAACCATCGAAAAGAACGCCCGTGCCGTATGCCAGTCCCTCACGGGATTCAAAGACTGCATCGTCATAGGCAGCGGTCGACCCTCTCCGGTCTTAGTTGTCGAAGTCGACCTCCAAGCTTCAACCAGCGAACTCGAGACCGAGCTAAAGAAAGACATATTCCATCGGATTCAAACATCCCCAGCCACTCAGCAATGGTTTCCACACGAGAAGATTGCTTCACCAGATTCCATAATTATTGTCCCTGCTAGATCGTTGAGCAGAACGGCAACAAAGGGAGTTATACGAAGGAAAGCGGTCGAGGAGGACATGAGAGAGAAGTTGGATGAGATTTTTGGTGAGACCCACGTCTAGCGTAGTGTGCCCGAGTATTATCATGCATTGGGCAAGAACCTGGTGAACATGGATGCCTAGTGAAAAGTCTGTGTATATCATTATGGCGAATCATCCTGTTGAACTATTCAAGAGAATTCAAGGTAAACTTTGATATCACGAACATTCGTGAATTGCTTGAATTGAAGTACAATCACTGTACAACGAGGAATGTCGGACTAATGGGCAGAAGTACAGGGTCCTGCAGGGCACCCAATGTACCTACCCCTACGCATCCCGGCCCACCCACCCCCGTACCCTTCACGCAGCTCAGGAATGCTTACAAACCTGAGCACCACTTTAGTTCGTACGACAGCAGTAATACTGTCTAGTTACCTCTACTCTTTCACATATTCTCGGGTGCCTTGCCCTTGGCAGTAGTAGCTTTGTATTCGGGTTCCAGATGATCGGGATGGGCTGGTGTCGCAGTGAATTCCTGAACTCGAATACAGTACTTGAACGAGCTCATGTGAGTGAAGTCAAGGCAAGGCAGAATACCGAAGGGTACCTGCAGCGATCGGAAATATTGTGGAGGCCGGCGCGTACCGTGGCTGCACACAGTGCTCGAGTCCAAAAGAGTTGGTACTCTCGAGGCAGGTACTGGCAGGTATTGGATCATCTAGGAGGTTGGCTAGCGGACACCAATGAGAGAGAGAAACAAAAAGTAGATAGTACGAGTACATCTAATTTCACCTAACTTCTTGCGTGGCTCCTTAGTCTCCTCCGAACCCTATGTAAGTTGCGTGATTTGTGTTGCCGGTTTGAATAGATGCAATGGCTTCTTTGGTGAGATATTTACGCGTAGCAATTGAGAGTTCCAAGAAAATCAACAAATGGATAAATGAGAAGTGTCTTACCACGTCGAAGTCGTGCTATAAGCCCTCTTAATATGTGATATGTATTACCTATTGATGGTGGTGGAGAGCTCATAATGACCTTGTAGTTAGTACGATTTAAGAATACAGAGCTTGAGGACTCAATAGTAAACTTGTTTTCCTGTTTCGTACGAAGTGGCGGAATCCGGGCTGGAGCGAAGACGAGCAGAGTACAAACCTTTTTGTAGTCCATCAATGGCGTATTCAGCTGAAATTAGTTGATTGCAAGTGCCCAGAGAGGAGGAAGAGGGAGGAACGCGACTGCCAACGGTCATGGTGGTAGTTGCTGTAAGAGGTTTGATAACGTCCAGTAGCACTCCCAGCTGGGGCGGGGCGTTTAGTTTCAGCTCTTTGCTTCCGCCTCGACTGGTTAATCTCGTCCGATGTTCAATCATTTGAAAGCAAAAGAAACAAATGGAACGAACCGATGTTTTGGAGTTTCTGAATCAATCCAGTCGGTTTTCCGACTGGTTCACTCATAAGACGCCAAAAGTTGGAGTAAGACAATCCAATTCAACGAACTCTAGGTACTTCTCACTGGGATCAATGAGTGACGCTGACGAAAGAAAAAAGTTAGGGAACTATTGCACAGTTCCGTTACAGGGAATCGAACCCTGGGCTATCGCGCTGACATCAGCTTCACTGGGATCATGAGAGGCGATAATGTTAGCCACTACACCATAACGGAGATACGACATTTCATAGCGGGGAGAGTATATACCTATGAACGTCAAAGTCTCTCGTTCAAAATCGCACATCAAACAGCAACGACAATGACAACGACAAAAACGCTCGAGCCTTATGCCACTCCCTCTCAAGATTCAGCGACTGCATCGTCATAGGCGGCGGTCGGTCGACCCTCTCCGGTCTTAGTCGTCCAAGCTTAAACGTTAAACCAGTGAACTAAAAGAAGACGTATTCCATCGGATCCAAACATCCTCAGGTTTCCACGCGGGAAGGTCGCTTCGCCAGATTCCATACTGAGCAGAACGGCGATCAAGGGGGTTATACGAAGGAAAGCGGTTGAGGAGGACATGAGAGAGAAGTTGAATGAGATTTTTGGGTTCGATAGCGAGTATGAGAGGAATAAGAGGGATTAATGCCAGTGAAAAAAAAATTATCTTCGATCCCCGATATTCCGTTACAGGGAATCGAACCCTGGGCTATCGCGTTCTTAAACAGCATCCCATTGAGGATGAGAGGCGATAATGTTAGCCACTACACCATAACGGAGGTAACATTCTTTGGAACTAGCGGGCGTAGATGCGTACATCGAAGTTTCCTCCTAATTCGTTCATACAAACAGCAACAACAACGACAACGACATAACATAAAGATACTGTAGCGATAACTTGTAGCAATCGTCTCTGATAAACCCTCCGAGCAACCCAGTGTGACCACCACCGCCCTAGACATTGACAAGCAAAGAGAGTCAGCCGTACTTCGTTCAAGAGCGTCAAACGTGGCATAACAAGTTCGGAAAATCGCTTCACCAGATTCCATAATTATTGTCCCTGTTAGAACGGCGACCAAGGGGGTTATACGAAGAAAAGCGGTCGAGGAGGGTATGAGAAAGAAATTGGGTCAGATTGTTGGTGAGGACGTCTAGCGTAGTTCACTAAAACATCAAGCAAAAGCTAGATGAGGACGAGAGTGATTAATACCACTGAAAAAAAAAAAAGCCATGTTGTCACCGCTGTATTCCGTTACAGGGAATCGAACCCTGGGCTATCGCGCTCACAATCATCCTGCACTGGAATGAACTTTTGAGAGGCGATAATGTTAGCCACTACACCATAACGGAGTTACAAATGCAACACAGCAAGGTGGATATATACGTATCGACGCTCGTTCCAAATCGCGTACAAACAGCAACGACAACGACAAAAAAACAAAACGTAAAGATAGCGATAACTCGTAGCAATCGTCTCTCATAACCCCCTCTCCCGATCCGAGTGCAGCTTGCTCTTCCCCCGGGTGCGAGGGAACATGCATTAACAAAGGTTCTCCAACATACGACCGCCCGACCGCCCACCGCCTTGAAGAAGTAGAGAAGGAGTCGAGTCAGAACCACTGGAATACAAAAGCGCGACCAGAGGACGTACGTACCGGAGCTTTCGAAACCCGTCATGTAACAACGTCCCGCAACTCGCATCATGCGAATCCTCAACAAAGCACGGAAACACCATCCACACACGTCCCCACCAAAACACAACGCATAGTCATCTTCAAGGCCCAACACCCCAAACCTCCAACCCAACACACTCAAACGTCACTGTCCTCCCTTTCTTCGAACCGGGTGTATCAGCTGCACATAACGGTGGGTTCCCGAACGTCGGACAGGGGGCTGAGGAGCCTTCGAGGAGGGTGGAGTCGATGTATAGACCGTAGGTTCCGTCGCTGTGAAGAAGGTGGTTAGTTGGGTTGAGAAGAGGGAAAAGGGAGCGACGGGCGTCGAGAGGGGTGAACGAGAGGAAAGCTTCGGATACATGATGGAGGGAGAACTCCCAACGCCCAACAAACCGAATCTAAAACGAAACAAACGGAAAAACCCAAACTCACCCACCACCAAAACTCAAAAACTCCGCTTCACACAACGCAACATACCCATTCTTCCCCGTCCACCTGAACACTTCCAACTCGTCCCTCGTTTTGACGTATTTCCATAGGAACCTACCAACACCAACACCCAACATCAGCCATCCATTTCCACTTAACAAAAGAGAAAAAAGCACTCACGACTCCCCACTCCCATAATACCCTTTCCCCCTATGCAACCCATCCCCCACGAACACACCAAACACAACATCCCCCGAATCCTTCACAACCACCAACGCCCCGACTTTAGTCGCGATTCCACTCCCCCCAACGCTGCTGACGTTGATAGAGGGGGAGGCCTCGGTTTTGGTGTAAAGCGTATTGAGCGATATCCCATGCTGGTCGAGGGAGTATAGGAGATTCCAGCGTTTAGGAAGGCGGGAGAGGGCTGGGAGGTGTGGGCGGATCTATCGGTGTCGGGGGAGGGGGAGGGTCAGTACATCACGACGAAAAGAGAGGTCACGACAAAAAGAGAGAGAGAAGACCCACCTTATCAGCCAACCCCCCATCCAACACCCCCTCCGTACTCTCCCTCCTCCCCTTCAACTCAAGATGCCCACTCTTCTTCTCGATCAAACCCCCCATCGTCGCTGTCGGTTGGAGTTGCGGTCGAGGTGAAGGCGAATGCGAATGCGAATGTGACTGAGGTGTCCCTTTCCCTTTACTCAGACTCGAACTCGACGATGGAGTGGTCCCCCTACTACGCTCAGCTTCCAACTCATCGCTCAACTCGTTCGAGTACCCTTTCCGATCCCAATCGTACCGTTCTCCTGCGAACCCGGGTGCACCGCTGATACTCCCCGGTACGAACATGTGCGGTGCAAAGGGTGAATGCGAATGCGTGAGCACCAGCTGCACCCATAGTAGTGGTATTGTTGCCCGTCGTGGTGGTGGAAGCCCCGTTATTCCGAACGTTCGTCGTCGTCCTCGGAGGAGAAAAAAACAACGAATCAATACTCCCTCTCCCCGTCTCGGCGGAGAAGTAGAGGAAGAAGCAGTAGCAGCAGCGGAAGAAATCAACCCCGACATCCATTTTGCCGATATACTCGACAACGTCTGATAGGAGGTCGATCGTGTTGACAGGCCCGGTCTCCCCGAGGGTTGTCCTGTGTTTGTGCTTGCGCTTGCGCATCTGCTCCGGACGTGACGGGTGGTGCTAGCGTCGAGAGTGTAGGTGAACGTGATGGTGAACGTCCTAATGTGCCTATAGAGGGGGAGGTTTGGTGACGAGAAGGATGAGTGTGGGATTCGACGGTTCGAGATCGGCGGTGGTGACGATCACTGGTGCTAGGGGAAGACGGAGAGAAGAACTCGTGGTCGAGATCGATCAGGGATTCGGAGAGTTCGGGTGGACCCCAGCTGTCTGGGTCGTGTTCGTGTTCGTGTTCTGGCTGCGGTTGACTAGCACCCCAACTCGAACCTAACGGATCAAGCAGCTCGTCCAAAACCTCCTTCCTGTTCCTCTCCGATGCATCCTTGGCCTCTTTCGCGAACTGATCAAAGAAAGACAAGCTCGGGCTTTTCGCATGGCCTTGTCCTCCTTGGGTTTGACCTTCACCAAACGAGAACCCCGCATCCGCATCTACACCCGCCAACGGATCTTCCGAAGCAGGTACAGACACGAACGCTCCAAACTCCGAATCGGGAGTGCTAGGTTCCCAATGCTGCTGCTGCTGTTGTTGAGGGCGCGACGGTGCCGGTGTCTTCCATATACTGTCTCCGTCTCCGTCTCCGTCGTTGTTCACGGGTAGGCGAAGCGCGAGGTGTGGGCGGTGAGAAGAGAGTAGCGAATTTGTCGATCATTTCTTCGTCGAGGTTCTTCTCTTGTGACTTTGAGGCCGGGGCGGGGGCGGGGATAAGAGGTGGTATTGGTATGGAGCTCATTCTGGTGTTGGTGGTAGTACTGCGCAAAATGGTGAGATTTTGCGTTGATAACTGAGAGAGAACGCACCAGTGGAGGTACACGTTTTATACACGTTGTTCCACAAGGATCATAAAGTTCCGAAACAGAAAGATGGAGGGAAACTCCTGCGGTATCCAGATAGAAAGAAACATCAGAACTCGTATTATTAAAGTCAACAGAGGACTCAAGAACGCACCAATTAACGACCTTCAAGGTCCAAAAACCCCACAGAACTTTCTCGTTTCAACAAGGTCCTCACAAAGAGACCAATAGCAAAAGGTCGTCAATATCGTGTGCAGGGATCTAAAACACAACAAAGAGTTTATTCAACACTAAAGAGCCAAATCAACACGAATATACACACCAGCTTAAACGCCAGATCCAGATCCCAATATTGGGTGCTCGTCGTCGTCGCGGACGATGAGCAAGCCGTGGTGGTGGTTGGTTGGGGTCGATGATGACAATGACTCTGTGCTGACAAATCATAGTTAGTCCTCGTGGACCCCCCGGGTGTCGCGGGCCGTCCGTCCCACCCCTGGATGAGTTCAGTCGGGAGAAAAGCGCGTTTGGTTTCTCGTATCTCGCAGATTCAGTCGTTCGAGCTTGAGAGGCGTATGTATGTATGTACACTGACAGATGTAAACCGGACGAGCTGGTTGTGGCTATCAGATATCAACTGCTTTTCAACTCCGTTATGGTGTAGTGGCTAACATTATCGCCTCTCAGCCCTACGCTGGTATAGAGTTACGCGATAGCCCAGGGTTCGATTCCCTGTAACGGAATGTACAAATAGATCCATTGTCTTTTTTTTTGATCTTCCTCTGAGGTCAATTATAGAATCGGGAGACGCTTTGCGTGCTTGCTAGTATTGGTCTCTCATTGGATACACTCATGATTTTTTGGGTACGAAACTTGATGTTGAAGCCATGTCTAGCGAAGTATTCCGCCATGACTGGGCAACATACCTTCCTTGAATAATAAAGATCCCTTCTAATGTTACGCTCGACTGCTTTCCTTTGAATTCATGTCCGTTTTGCATCGATCCAAAAAGAACGATGATCGCAAGCATGGCCATGACTCTCCCAGCTTCTACCAAGCCTCCCCCGTCTTCGCCGTCGCCATTCTTCAGGTCAAGTAAATCTCTCGCGCGAGGGCTGTCGAAATAGGGCCCCGCTAACAGGATAGTGTCTAGTTAATTAGGCCTGTAGTCATCGACCCGTCTGTGACGATAGCATACACGTACAGGGACGATATATAACTGTCTACATCAGGTTGAAGAATTCCGGCGAGTTCTTGGCCTTTCAGCCATTCTCGCGAGTCGCAGGCTAAGGTCCCAAAAAGACTAAAGCTACACCAATATCTTGCTCAAAAATACCGTATCTCATGATTATGAAGAGACAGATACCCTTAGTGTTGTCTATCCAAGCCCAAAATGAGCGTGAGCCTACATTTTACCTCGCAGTTGGGTTTGTGCTGAAAACCCAACCTACGGAAAACCGGACATAGTCGGTCGAAACCCTGATCCTATCCTTTAGGGTAAAATTGGCCAGAATCGTTTTTTTATGATCTTCCCAATGTAAGCGCTTCCTTATTCTTTGCAGTTACAATCTGTGGGCGTTCTGATCCAGGTCTCAGCTCCGTAACGGAGTCAGCATGGGCTGAGTTACTTGGAAGGGGTCCCCTGCCGTTTCTGTAGCAAGAATAGAAGGAATGATGCATAGGCATAGGTGTTAGGTAACAATGGCACTCGAAAAGACATACCCCTCACTGGGCGTCATAATGAGGGTCGAGCATTGTTCGAGAAGTCTATGACTATGAGTCATAACGTAGTCTTATGGCAATGTCGGGGGTTCTATAGGGCCAGGACTTGATTGTGTAATTAGTGTTTCTCCTCGGTTGTTTCTCATTGCGCGTGCAATACCCCCGTACAAATCTTGCTTTTGACTCTCATGTTCCTCGAATCACGCCCATATACACTCTTAAAGACGCCTCCAGGGCGTACTATATGTCAAATATACCCTCGACAACCGAAAAAGATAGTTCCCCAATGTCGATGTCAACCCCACCAATGATAAGACACACAAACCCCATCTTCCGCTTTAACGAGCTACTAGGATAATAATTATGATGCATACGGGCGACACGGTGTGTTATTGAGCATTATAACGAGTCCAGAGTCCAGAGCTGAGATTGACTGTGTATGCCTGGGATGTTCATTGCCTACGCCGAGACTTGGCCTACACAGCGCGGTCTCTCAACTCGAGAAGTTTTCTCTTTGATTCTGTCTCACGACATTACTCCAATCCCTCCAGAAGTTCTCCATCAAGCTCCTACCCTTGTACCGAAATGCCACAGCGTGAATTTGTACAGGCGGGGAGTCTGACAGTCTGACCGTGTAGATAAATGCCATATTTTCGAAGGCTAAAGTGTAAACCTGGTCTATGTATCAGTCATGATAGCATTGAATCACATAAATTTCGTGTGATAGTCAGAACTCATTGCAGACGATGAGCGAGCTGAAATGAATTATTCTCGGACCATCGTGGACCGACCTGGCCCGCCCGATCCGCCTACACAACATTTGGTAATTAAGGCTGACCCTATAGAACGCCCACCTTGATACCAGACTACATATCTATGTATATCAAAGTCGTCACGTAGATATCGTCAGTCTGGTTACACGAGACTAGTCATAACGATAGGTATCAAACTCTTACTCTCATCGAACCGGAACTGGTCCGAAATGCACCATCCTTCTTCCCCGTGAGGAGCCTGAGACGTCCCATCCGGGGTAGTTCTGGTTACAGTAGCGGAAAACGTCTTGAAGGTGTTCATGTCCTCGACTTAGAAGTCCGTTCCCGGAAGCGTTTTTCGCTACCCCCCCGTCCAGGATGGATAAAGCTGTTTGGCTCGGATTGGACCCTAAGGTGACCGTTACGTGGTGAGAGAGGAATAAAGATCGGTGCGAAACGGAGATGAAGGTCAAACGAGTGATTGAATATCGTCGCCGGGAAGGAGGACGGAAGAAGGACGGAAGAAGCATGCTGATATAGACCCACCAAGCGGTCTTCACCATAGGACATATGGCTAATTCCGAGGACAATAACACGGAACATATCAATGAATATCATTTCGGAGAAGCCATTCCCAGAGTCTCGTGAAACAGGCCGTACTAGGGACGACTCACGGCGGCGCCCCGGTTCTCAAGGCGCCTGCCGAGGATTCGAAGTTTGAGTCAGCGAGCGCTTTTTACCGGGAACGTGCCAGCAAAGACTTTGACACTCCTAGTGCTCAGCCTTCCGTTAGCCGTCCCCTCGTATGGGACGATAGTGTTTCCCCAGTAGGGTTCGTGTTCGTCAAAGTGGCTCACACTGGCATAGATTGCACATTTAGAAATATATAGGGTTCGCGGGCGTTTAGTTAGGAACGATAATCGCAACCAGCCAGTACTCACGGGCAATTTCTTCAGGCGCTTAGCTTCCTTGCAGATTTACCAGCAGGTCCCAGGGTTCCTCGAAAGTCAGATGAAACATAGCACATCAAAGATACGCCGAAGAGGCAGCACGCACCTTTCAAAGAAATCTAGAGACGCCGGATCTAACCCGGCATCATGAACGGACGTCAAACCATACGACAGTGCATCTTTAACAGTCGCTCTAAACCGAGCCTGCAATTCTTCTTCCGTAACTGGTGGGAGATGGAGGAGCTCTTGAGCATTTTCTAGAAGGAAGGAAACCTGCTTTTACCGTGATCGATAGGAATAAAGAATTGAGAGAAAGCCGTCCCGAAATTAGATGATGAGCCGATAAACGCCGGGTGACGGGAGATAGTGGGATTCCCTACCTGTGGGTGTCTCGTTTGAGCTTCTGACGACTATCCCACCCTCGCCTTCTTCAGGAAGCTCGCTACATGTATCGATCGCCGCCGAGCGTGACAATTTTTGCTCTGTAGCACAACCTTCCTTGCACGGATTACTGGATCGGAACCGAGGTCCGCCTTTCGCGGGTAGGAGAATCAGAAAAAAAAAATGGGTTCACCGCGGAGGTCATTTGGTAGCCTACCGCAGTCAGAAACGAAACATCTGGTCACACAGTATGATCCCAGCCTCTCCCGAACACCACTCGACTCTTGTCATTGTTGAATGCTTTGTTATATAATGTCATTTCTGCCACCCTCTAGGTGCGTGTCTGCGGGGATACACATATTTTAGCTAAAGCAACTAGATACTCCAAGCATCAATGGATATTGTACTACAACGAGTCGATGTTTACATGCCCACGGGCTGTCCTGGGTAGAAACCTAGTGCCATGACGACGCTGGCCACTTTTTGAGGCGCATTACCGTCCATCCAGTCGTTATAGAACGACATTGCATCCATCTCCGACATGAACATGACCGTGAAGCTTTGGTCATCGTTGCGTCGACCTCTCACTCTGTTCGAACAGTGTCGGCCAGCTGGGACTAGCTCCACAATCGACTTTGCTACCTTCTCCCAGTGATCGTTGAGATTAAAGGGCATATTCGAGACGTGGATATGGTAGGGATGAGAGTCGGGCATCGTCTGAATGTGTTGTGAGGAGTGATATGGGTAGTGAGCTCCTCCCATGGTAGCCGGCGGGGTGCGGGGTGTTGCTCCAGCATTTGTGACCCATGCAGCTTGGGGAGGCGTAACCGCGTACGTCGAAAGCTGTGGCTGAGCGGGTGGTGGCCACGGTGTAGCGTCAAGCAGCCATTGAGGCGGCCTTATAGTGTGTTGTTGTTGTACCACCGGTGCCATAGCTACGGGATAACCAGAGCCTGAGCTACGCACGTCATGCCACTGGGGGGTAGGCGGCTGCAGTGGTGTAGCGAAGGTCTCATTGCTGAACTGTGCCGCATTGCGATAGTGATCTAGTGCATTGTTGAGTATGGACTGTGCAGCAGGCTAATCACAGACTGGTAAGCTCACCGTCAACTCCGACCCTTTTACGAGGAGGTTCGGCAGCATAGTGACGGGTACGTTTCAAGGACCCAAGAACCTGATCGTGCTCCTCGACTTTGCTCTCCAGATCACGTATCCTGACCTGAAGGTCCTCAAGGACATTGTTGGCCGGAAAGGGAAACTTCGGGCCGTAGTCCCCATCGGTTGGCTGGAATCGAGACGCCATACCGAGATAAACTGACTATATCAACTTGTCCGGGCGTCGGTTGAAAGATGATGGGTTTCGGTGGACGAGAATTGGAAGGACAAGGGAAGCCCTTTATATTCATTGCCGGCGCTTGGATGTAAGTAACGTGTTGTAGATGTGCTATGATTGATGAGATGTTAGACGTGGGGAGGACAGGGGGCACGTGCAGGCTTCGGCGATAAAAGGTTAGGATAGAGCTAATGAGACAATTCAGAAGGGACAGATAGATGCAAAGGTAAATGAAAACATTATGGCTGTGAGAACACAGTCGGAGACATCGTCGGTGGGGGGATGGGCTGTGCCGATGAGGTAGAAAATAGATGTGCTTTCTGGCACGTAACGTGCATTCTGCCTTTTTCCTGCCTTTTTTGGAGAAGTTATGTACCTCATTGGCACAGCCCATCCTCCCACCGACGATGTCTCCGCCTGTGTTCTCGCTGCCATAACGTTCTCGTTTACCTTTGCATCTACCCATCCTTCACGCGATGTCATACCGGGTATTCAGCTCGCCAAGCAAATCTATTGCTGGAAATAGCCATCTTCGTAGTACAAGAAGACAAGGATGTGGAGGAAAGGTAAGCCAGTCCAAAGCCGTCGAACGGCAACGACAGTGT